ATTGTGAGATCGATAGTCAGGTCGATTGTGAGATCGATCGATTGAGTTAGCAGTGAGATCACTATCGGTAATGAGATCGGTAGTGATTTCGATAGTGAGATCGATGATGAGACCGAATGTGAGATCGATTGTGAGTTCGGTTGTGATATCGATAGTGAGATCGATAATGAGATCGAAAGTGACTTCGATAGAGAGATCGATAGTGAGGCCGAATGCGAGATCGATTGTGAGATCGATTGTGATATCGATAGTGAGATCGATAGTGAGACCGAATGTGAGATCGATAATGAGATCGATAGTGAGTTTGATAGTGAGATCGATAGTCAGATCGAATGCGAGATCGATTGTGACATCGATTGTGAGATCAATAGCGAGACCGAATGTGAGATCGATTGTGGGATCGATTGTGAGATTGATTGTGAGATCGATAGTCAGATCGATTGTGAGATCTATCGATTGAGATCGATTGTGAGATCGGTAGTGAGTTCGATAGTGAGATCAATCGAGTGCGACGTTGGTCCCTCCCCCCCCCCTCACCTCCTTATCACCCGAAGGGTGGTCTATGCGGTATATATTCCTATTCCTGCATTTTTATACGGCCGGGGACCCTGGAAAAGGCCCCCCCCCCCACCCGTCCCCTCCCCCCCCTCACGAACGAATTTGGGACTTCTCGGGCTGGCCAGACGCCCTCCCTGGCACCGAGGGGGCGGTCTAGCAATCCCTGCCAAGGCGTGCACACAGGCGGGTGACAGTCCCATGACAGTCGAAGATGGTTCCACAAGGCCCTTGACCCCCGCCAGACGCCCGAAGACGGCTCGAATGTCACCCCCACGAAGCGTTCGACCCTAACAATATATCGTTGTTGCATTGATTTTCGTTTGATGTTCGGATACTCACTCATTCGGGCCTCCAAGCGTCCGAGAACGCTGGAGAACCGTTGAATTCCGCTCCGAGACGGCGCAAGCGGGCCTCCAGACACCCCATCACGGTCACATGAGGGCCCACGACGGCCGCCAAACTGCCCACGAGCGGCTCCATGACTGGCCCAAGATGACTGAAAAACAACCGGCACAAGGCCCCAGAGACTCCCAAAACGATCGAAGACGGCATCAAGCGGCCCAGATCACCGCTGGACGCCCGAAGACGGCCCGAATGTCACCTGGAAGAGGCGCTCGAAACTTGGAAAAAAAGTGATGTTCCATTGTTTTTTCGCATGATGTTCGGACACTTGCTCACACGGGCCTCCAAGCGTCCGAGAACGCTGGAAAGGTACCGGAAAGCGCTCCAAGACGAGCTAAACGCGCTTCCAGTCACCCCAACACGGTCACATGAGGGCCCAAGACGGCCGCCAAACTGCCCACAGGCGGCCCCACGACTGGCCAAAATGACTGCGAAACTACCGGCACAAGGCCCAAGAGACTCCCAAAACGATCGAAGATGGCATCAAGCGGCCCAGACTTCCGCTGGACACCCGAACGCGGCTCGAATGCCACCTGGAAGAGGCGCTCGAAACTTGGAAAACATAGATGTATCAATGTTTGTAATACTCGATCGCTCAGGCTTCCAAGCGCCCGAGATCGCTGGACAGAAGAAACACAGAAAACCGCTCCAAGACAAGCCAGACGGGCTTCCCGGCAGCCCAAGAGGGCCCCATGAGGGCCCAAGACGGCTCCAAACTGCCCACGGGCGGACTCACCACGGCCCCAAATTGTCTTTAAAACACCTTCCCCCAGAATGCAACACGTGATCTGGAACCACGACTCCCGGTATGGTGGCTCGAGGACCCCCCCAAGGAGCCCTAACAATGTTTCTGCGAAACTCTCCAGAGATGCGCCACGAAGGAGCTTCCGCGAACGAATCAGAAGAGGACGAAAAAGCCTTCGTGTGCCAATTCACTCGAGAATGAGGTAGAGAAACTAGACGAACACCACGATAATGGCCCAATGGCGACATCGGCCATCAGAAACGATTTCTGTCTTGCTCGGTGTACCTCTCTCAGTCTGCCTGCACCGTCCACTTATCGGACCAAGGTGCATGGCGCGAAGCACCAATGCAGTCTTGTATGTGTATACGTGTATAGATTCAATTCATATAAATATAGAGAGAGATACATATAGGTATCTCGTTTTGGTCGCGCATTCGCCACAGGTTAAGATCTCGCAGCTGTACCAGACAGCTGTGTTGAGGCTTTTACGCTGCGGGCCCCCCCGTCAGACGTACCCACCTCGCGTTCCCAAGGACGAGTTTCGCCGCCCTCGAGTCGGGCCAAATCGATCCGCGAGGGTCTCGGCGCCACCTCACTCGGACCCCTGGGGAAGCGGCCCAGAAGTCACCAGGCCGAGAGAACGGTACGAACGGGGGGCCCGCCACCGAAGGAATGACTCCCCTGGGTGGCCGCCGCGGCCTCTCCAACCGCAGGATTTGGGCAATTCCTGTGGTTGCTTGGCTCCTGTCCACACCCTTGCTCGGGTGGCTGTGGGACGGCAAAGCAAGAAAGCTGCGAGAACGACATCGGCAATTCAGTGGGACCCCCGAGATTCTCCAATGACCTGTCGTCATAAGTCTGATCTCGTTTTGGTCGCGCATTCGCCACAGGTTGAGATCTCGCAGCTGTACCAGACAGCTGCGTTGAGGCTTTTACGCTGCGTGCCCCCCCGTGACACGTACCCACCTCGCGTTCCCAGGGACGAGTTTCGCCGCCCTCGAGTCGAGCCAGATCGATCCGCGAGGGTCTCGGCGCCACCTCACTCGGACCCCTGGGGAAGCGGCCCAGGAGTCACCAAGCCGAGGGAACGGTACGAACGGGGGGCCCGCCACCGACAGAAAGACTCCCCTGGATGGCCGCCGCGGCCTCTCCATGCACACCTTCTCACTGGCTATAGCCGGAAGTAACATTAGGCCAAGCATATATATATATATATATATATATATGTATCGAAAAATCGCTGATTGAAACGTCTACAAGATCGGCGACAGCCTCCTCGATATAAACTCGTGCAGAAGTTACGGCGCTCCACCTCCTTCGCTGCATTGTGCGCTCGAGATTGGCACCCAAAAGCAAATCATGCGCCTCCCCGCCTGAAGCTGCACCAAGACCAGCGTGCAGGCGGGATCGAGGCAACCGCGAGGAGCGACCGCATAAGCCGTGGTCCGTCGGCTTGGCGCTTGTCGCGGCAACTCGCAGCAAAATGAATGCGATCGGCGTTCGCACCACGACGAACTGCACCTTGCCGGTCCTGGCGCCCATCTTCGTCTCGGAGAGCCGCAAGATGACATCATACGTGAGATCCCGCAGCTCTTTGGTCCGAAGCATCGCATCAAACGTGGCGAGGACCAGGGCTGCCAGCAGGGGCTGGCCAACCGCCAGCGCAGCGCCTGCAAGCCCGAGCGCCATCTCAGGGCTCGCCAGGTAGGCGCGGCTGACGGGCGCCAGCTTCTGCCACGTGTTCACCAGCGACTAAGCAAAGGGCAGGGCGGTGCGCAGCTCGGGGGCGAAGAAGAGGCAGCCCGCGAGCGCGTAGCGCCCCTGGCTGAGCGTGCCCTCATTCGCCCACTGGTCCTCGACATAGGCGCCCAGTGCACGATCAGCCTCCTCAGAGCTAGTTAGCGAGAAACCACCCTCGATAGCGAAGGCGAGGAACTCCGCGACGGCGATGCGGTACCTCTTGAGAGTGACCGCGCTGACTCTGAGATTCGAGAGCCTCTGGGAGGTCCGCAACTGCTGGAGCCTGCGGGCTCGCGGCGAAAGCCTCTTAGCTGCCAAACCTTCTGGGCCGGCGCGTCGGCGGGATTGTCTTCCGACGCGATGTAGCCAAGCATGACGTAGCAGCCTGTCGCCCAGCACAGGGCCCCCCATCGTTTGACGTGCGCTCGCAAGACCCTGCTGCTGCTGCGGCCCTTCGTGAGCACCGAGGCGGCGACCTGGCTGTCGATGAGGTGTAGCGTGCGCCTGGGGCCGCCCTGCCCCGACCGCAGCCGCCACTTGACGGTGTTCACAGCCGCCTGGATCTCGAGGGCGTTAATGTGCTTCCCGATCCCAGCACGCCACCGGTAGCTCGAGATCACCTTCCACGTCCAGACGCCGGGCTCCAGCGACACGCGAGGCCACGCGCGGTGCCTGAACGGCAGGTGGGCGCCAAGGCGCACGTCCGTGCCCCCTTCTCTCGGCGATCGACAGGTAGTACCTTACAAGCTGCTCCGCCTCGGGCTGATACTGGTAGTCGTCGCTCTGGTGGTGCACAGCGCTGTCGTTCCAAGGGGCCCTGCATCTCCCCGCATGGCACAGGGCAGAGGGTTTCCACAGCCGTGGTTGGTACTCATCAGCGACCAGGGCGTGCTGCAGCAGCCATGACACGGCGTAGACCGAGAAGCTATTCCCGAGCAAGAAACAACGCGTGGTCGCAGAGCTCGAACCAGATCCGCCCTTCACAGCACACTCGGTGTATCCCTGGTCAAATCCCAAAAGAACCTCCCTTTCCTCAGCTGACGGGGGTCGGAGCTCCATGGTAGCCTCACGCTGGAGAAGGCAGGCGCTCTCGCAAAGGCCGACGTGATAACGATGATCGTCCTTTTTCCAGCGCGCCTTAGCCTCAGGACTAGCCCGAGCAATGCCAGTAGGTCGAGTGGGCTGCAGCGATGAGGGCCCAGCACAGACAAGGGTCGGCACTGGCAGCGCGCCGCCATTCCAGAGCCAGCCAGGAGTGGCCCAGGACAGCTCCACGCGCTCCGCGCCGTCGGCGGTGACCTCGATGAAGTGAACCTTGTCCTGGTAGCAGTAGCCCTCACACGGCAGGAGGCTCCACGACAGCCAGCACAGCCGCGGCCTCCTGTTAGGGACCAGGCTGCTGCTGCAGAACTGGTAGGGCGTGACCAGGAGCTCGACAGAGATGCGCTCGATGTCCTCCAGCGGCATGGATGCGACCTTTTCAACGAGGGAGCGCACTTTCCCAGGGAACGCCACGTTCAGCAGCCCGAGGACCCGTGGTCTCATTGAAAACGGCCCCCTTCTTGCCCTCGAGCCCTCTTCTGCCGAACATCAGCCTCGACAAGTCTTTGCAGGGGCTGCCCGCTCCGCAGTAGACCGCGTCGACGATGCCGCCGAAAAGCTGCGCCAGCTTGTCAATCTGCTCGGCCCCCACGTCCTGGAGGTTCCCCCAGTCGATGAGGCCAGGCCACCTCTTCCTGACAACCCTGCGCGCGCAGGGATCCACCTCCGACAAGACGTAGCCTATGATCTTCGCACGAAGCCTGGAGAGAGCTACGATCATGCCCCCGATCCCGTCGAAGAGTCCGATGACCAGAACAGCAGGCACTTCGTCGCCAGCGAGCGGCGGCAGGCCCGGGCCCCTCGACTCCCAGGCCCGCCAGAGGGGCGCCTCGCTCAGCAGCAGGCGGCCTGCCATGACGTGCCGGCGGCCCTCCTGGCTCGAGGTGGCAGCAGCCGTCAGCTTCGCGAGAGCCTCGGGGCAGAGCCTCAGCGACGTGCAGGCACCTCCACCATCCTCCGACGCATCGGAACAGGTGACTCTTGCGCCCACCTCCGCGCGCAGGTCAGTGAAGGCGAGCGGGGGGGGCCTATGGCGCAGAGGAGCTCCTCGGTCATCTCAGAATTGACCCAGCCAGAGTGAGCGCCGTCCGCAAACTTCCAGACCTTGTTGAGGATGCAGAAGAGCACGCGCCTGAACTCCAGCGCCCTGACCAGCTTGCCCAAGAGGACGAGCACGGTCTTCCAGTAGACCCAGCCCTTGGTTACCAGCAGGGCCCCCGGGAGCATAGTCTCGAACGGCTTCACGAGGGGAACAGAGACGCGGCCCCGCAGGCCGTCCACGAGCACGCCCATCCTCGACCTTGGTCTCGCCGAGGTGGGCCTTGCGCTCGGCCCAGACCACGCCGTTCCGCTGGTTAGATGCCCTCTGCCGCTCCTGGTAGACCGACCCGACGCCGATCTCACCCTCCGTGCCGATGACGATCCTGGGGGCATCGAAGTCATCAATGAAGAACTGATGCCAGGAACGGCACATGCCCACCTGAGTTATGGGAAGTGGATTGTCTCTCCTCCACTCGTCGTCCTCAGGCAGGCCCGCCCCAGCAGGAGGGGGGCGCAGGCCCAGCCGTCTATGCAGATGTTGGAAAAGCGTGACGGCCAGCAGCCAGCCCATCGGCATGGCGGCTGAGCAGACGCGCGCGGTCTTCTGCTCATGACGCCCCACAAGGCGACCCAGAACGCGGCCCTTCAGCGCGGTGAAGCTCCGCCAAGGGCGAGGGATCTTCCAGACGAAGAAGGCCCCCTGCTGGTCGTCGCCCGACCAGAGAAGCACGCGCTGGCCCTCCAACGCCACAGTGACCCAAGAGGTCGAAGCCGTGAGCGTCGACAGGTCCTGAGTCATGATCCTCAGATAACTGTTGGCCGGTACCATGTTCATGATGAAGCGGCACTGCCTCTGCCCCCCTGCCTCTGGAGTGCCTTTCTTCTCGACTGCGAAGGCCCCGTTGAGCACGGGCGTGTCACCCGCCCGGAAGATGTGCTCATCCTCAATCGCCTCCACGATCCCGAGCGAGTACAGGTGGCCCACGATCTTGGCCCACTCCGCAGGCGAGTCAACCAGGAGCCTCGCCTTCGGCACCTCGGTGGGCCACTGGGCGCGCGGCAGCAGGGCCTGGGACAGCTCGCCCGGCCAGGCGAGCACCTCTGGGCTGACGTGAGCACGCGGGCCAAGACGCCCCGCAACGTCGGCAGCTGGTAAGCCGGGCCTAAGCTCGCCGAGCCGAAGTGGTCGGGCGCGCGCGCCGCTGTCGATGTCGCAGGCACTGGAGGCCCTCGTCGAGATCTCGCTGAGCAGGGCAAGGGTACCCTGCCGAGATCGCCTGCAAGGAAGTACGAGACGGCCACCCGCATGACCCCGATGGCATTTTCCTGAGCGGCCGAGTAGTGCGAGTGGTGGCCCCATGCCTCCTCCCCGCACGTGCCCGCGCACTGGTAGCTCGTGAGCATGACCTGGACAAAGGTCCACAACTCGGCCGTCACAGTGGCGGCGCAAGCGGCGTCAGCCTCTCCAGCAGTCCAACCGCAGGATGTGGGCAATTCCTGTGGTCGGCGGCTTGGCTCTCCAGAGGTCGGCCGACAGCTAGCTTTTGGTCCAGTCAGGGTCGCGGCAGTTGACTTCTCAAACGTAAGCTTCCAGGCCCTATCACTTGACAAAGATGGAGCAGCAAGAGGAAGCACAGCCCGAAACCTCTGCCCCCGCTGCTGCGGTGAATGCGCGCGTCGGAGGAAGCCGCGACAAATATTGCCCAACCTCCCAGGATGGGTGAACATGGCCTCAACCAGCCACAGCGCGAAGGTGAGCGGGGTCATGCCATCCTCGAGGGCCGCTGCCAGCCTGGCCTTCCAGGCCCTCACCTCGAATCAGTCATGCCTGTCAGCGTCTAGGGCCAGCTCGCTCCGCCGCTGGCACTTGACGAATTAGCCTCGGTAGTGTTCTTCACCTCCGAGTGGCTGCCCAAGGGGCGGCAGCCTTCTGGTTCGCAGCTTTGTTCTGCGCGCCCGAGCCCTCCAAGATGACCTTGCGAGCGCCTCCCTGAGATGGCGGCGCCGGCTTCTTGGAGGTGGGGCCCCTCATTATCTGGGCCAGGCGCTGCCGGCACTGGCCCTGTGTCTCGCTGTCCTTCTTGGGGTTCTGCAGCTTCAAGTCCTTGTACGTCTTTGAAAGCCTTTCCGCACCTGGGGCCCCTGGAGGCTGGCGACTCGCGCCCGCCACCTCTGCAGTGCGAGCCGCCTCTTGAAAACCCCGATCGCGAGGTGGACCTCCGAGCTCTCCTTCATTGGGGTGGCCTACAGGGGTAGCTCCCGAACTTGCTGGAGCCATCCCCATGGCCGAGCCCCTAGCCCGCAGGCTTGAGCTCGCCCACGAGCTCGGCGAGCTTCAACTCGCCATACTCGATATTCCTCAAGAGCTCCTCCTCCTCGATATTGATGGCAGCCATATCGGCGTCGGGAGGAATGAGCTCCAGCCAGCGCGCGCTCCGCCAATGCTTGTCCTCGCAGGAGAGCTGGCGGGCCCTGAACCTCTGCATCAGCATGTCCATGGCCACGAGGAGCCCCCCCTGGATCAAAAGGTCCAGGGCCTCGGACAATGTGCGCATCTCTCTGGACATGTCCTCGCCACTTGCTGAGACAGGATGAGAGACGAGGAAGATATTCAGCAGGAACTTATTTACTATGGCAGGAAGCTCCTCCTCATCCTCATGGATGCCTTGTGTGCTCAGGAACTGCTTAATGTGGGCCAGATGTGTTGTCAGCAACTTTCCAAGAGCATCGCGGGCCGTTCTCCCGGGCGTGAACTCCAGGCCGTCGGCGACGCCGAAGCCCTCGGGGCCCTCGCCCTGCGACAGCGCCCCCACCAGCGGGCGCAGCAGGTGGGCTGCGGACCCGCCACCGTCACGTCCAAGAGCAGCAGGTGCCGCACCGTCGCCGCTGCCGGCCGCGCCCCCGTCCGAAGCGCCTCGCTTAGGAGCCTTGGCCGCCCTCTCGGCGAGGATCTCGTCCAGGGACTTCCTCTCCGGGGCGGCTCCAGCAGCTCCAGCGCCTCGAGGCCCAGCACCTCCGTCGGCCTCAGCACCCAGATGGCCCTTCAGGACGGCCAGGCGCTCGCGGAGGATGTCCTGCATCTCCGCGTCGAGACGGCGGGCAGCGGGCGCCCCCGCCGCGGCAGCAGCAGCGGCCTCCAGCGGGGTCCCCCCGCCGGCGGCCCCCCCGGCGCGGACGCTGGCGGCGGGTGGCCCCTCGGGCACAGGCGCCGCGGCGGCAGACATCCCGCCCCGCGCAGGCGGCTCACCGCGCGCCCCCGTGGAGGGGCGCCGAGGCCGAACGGGGGCGGCGGCAGGCGCGCGCCCCTCAGGGGCAGCCGCGAGCGCGTCTAATGCAACCATGCCCGTGGCAGAGTGCCCGAACTCGTGGATCTCGGACTCGTCGTCGTCCAGCTTCTCCAGCGTGGGCCCCGCCTCCTCGTCCAGCGGCTGCGGGCCAAGTTCAGCAGGCCAACGCGCCGCAGGGTTGAGGCGGCGGTAGCTCAGGAACACGTCGCCGATCGAGTCCACGATCCTGAACCTGTCGACGTGCGTGATTTCCACGGCGGCCGCCGTCTCCCGCTGGACACATAGCAGCGCTCTCGTCCCGACAACAGTGCAGCAATCGCTTCACGCGCCTTGCTCCAGGGGTGCCCACATTCTCCTCATACCACTGCAGGTACCGATCGGTGCAAAACAAGAACTCCGCGCGCGCGAACTGGCCGTGCTCGTTCGGCGCGTACAGTGCCAGGATGCGGTAGGCGGCCTGGCCCTGGTCAGCGTCGTGGTCGTCGTAGCACGAAGCCTCGATGAAGTCCCCCGCGCGTAGGCTGCGAGACTCGCCAGCGAAGTCGCCAGCATACTCGCCAGCGGGTTCCTCCACCTCCGCCATGCGGCACGCTGGCGCGGGTTTCTGCCAGCTCGCGCACGCGCGCACGAGCACCCTGGGCGCTCGGAAAATATTCAGAGCAAGAAAGCTGCGAGAACGACATCGGCGATTCACCGGGACCCCCGAGATTCTCAAATGACCTGTTGTCATAAGTCTGATTTCTTGTGTTTAATTATATCTGCATATCTATATATATATATACATATATATATATATATTTCCGCCGGCCCCCTTGCGGGGCCACCAGGCTGCGAGGCGCGGGTTCGCAGTTTCCAGTACCAGTTGTAGCTTGTAGTTTCCAGTGTTGCAGTTCTGCTTCTTGCTGGTTACTGTAACTAGTTGATTGACCGCGCGAGGGGGGGGAGGCCCGAACTGGATTTTTTAGCACCCCCTGGGCGCGTTGTCTGAATTGCTGGGGGGGCTCGAAATCGACACCCCTCACGCAGATCGGCGGGGTCAGGGTTCGAAAACACAAAGGATTTGCCACATTTCTGAAATTCGGTGCCACCCCTCACGCAGATCCGCGGGGTCAGGGTTCAAAAACACAAGGGATTTGCCACATTTCTGAAATTCGGTGCCACCCCTCACGCAGATCCGCGGGGTCAGGGTCCAAAAACACAAGGGATTTGCCACATTTCTGAAATTCGGTGCCACCCCTCACGCAGATCCGCGGGGTCAGGGTCCAAAATCAAATGGGATTTGCCACATTTCTGAAATTCGGTGCCACCCCTCACGCAGATCCGCGGGGTCAGGGTCCAAAAACACAAGGGATTTGCCACATTTCTGAAATTCTGTGCCACCCCTCACACGCCAAGATCCGCGGTTCAGGATCAATAATTCACTGCGTGGGGACCCCCATATGTGCATCTCCTTGCTGGCGCTCCCTTGGTGGTGGGACTCGGTGAGGACGAATCTGGATTTAAGTGTGACTGAGCTGCCTCTCTCTCTCTCTCTGTGCTCTCTCTGTCTCTCTCTCTCTCTCTCTCTGCCCTCTCTCTGTCTCTGCCTCTCTTTCCCTGCCTCTCTCTCTCTCTCTGCCTCTCTCTCTGCCTCTCTCTCTCTCTGCCTCTCTCTCTCTCTCACTTTCTCGCTGCACTCGTCTCTGTGCCTCTCTCGTCTCTGCTCGTATCTCTCTCTGCCATCTCTCTCTCTCTCTCACTCTCTCTCATCTCCTCTCTCTCTTCTCGAGCTATTCTCTCTCTGCTACTCCATCCTCTCCTCTCACTGTCTCCCTCTCTTCTCTTCTCTTCTCTTCTCTTCTCTTCTCTTCTCTTCTCTTCTCTTCTCTTCTCTTCTCTTCTCTTCTCTTCTCTTCTCTTCTCTTCTCTCTCTCTCTATCTCTCTCTCTCTCTCTTTCTCTCTCTATCCCTCTCTCTCTCTCTTCTCTCTCTCTCTCTCTTTCGCTCTCTCGCTCTCTCTTGCTCTCTCTCGCTCTCTGTCGCTCTCTCTCGCTCTCTCTCTCTCTCTCTCTTTCTCTCGCTCTCACTCGAGTCTCGGCTCGAGAGTGCCCTGCACTCAGACCGCAGCCGCGACGCGAAGCGCCCCGCCTCGGAGTCAGACTCCCAGGCCTCGCGAGACCGGAGGGGTCCCAGCAGGACCCTACTGATTCGCGTCACCTCTCTCCCCACCAGAGCGCCCGCCGCAATGGCCCCCGGTAAGCCGTAGCGCCGTCGCTCTTCCAAGCAGCCGCCGAGCTCACGTCCTGCTGCCGAAGGGTCTCTCCTCCAACGCAAGCAGGACTGCATCGCAGCTTTCAAGCAAGCGGGGTCTGACCGCCCCACGGCCGCATACAACGGGCTTGCCGAGCTGAACGCGGACGAGCTTCAGGCCACGTACGACATGCACAAGACCAACACAAAGAAGCTCGGCAGTGCCTTGATCCGCATGTGTGCCGCCAACCAGATCAGCTACACGCTGGATCACCACCAGCGCAGCAAGCCAAAGCGCATTGGTGGTGACACATCACACCCACCAGCTGCGTCCGCACGTCTTCAGGCTGCGGACGCCCAATTCATTGCCTTGGACCCGGCCTTCTGGAAGGTCCCAGTCCTCGCCGAACCCACATCACTTGACGACGGCAAGACGTACAAGCCCAGAATCAGCCTCCACGACTACGAGAGCGGAGAACGGCTGCTGCAACACCACCTCGTGCAGGGTAAGCGTACCACGGGTCAGCTTGCGATTGCTGTCATGGGCCCAAAAAACGACAACTACGTCGGTACCGAGCTCGCCGTCCCCGTGCTGAAGCGTCACCCCAAGGCGCCCAAAGTGGTTCACACGCACGTCCCCGTGACCGTGTACCAGCTGGGCACCAAGGAGGTCGCCTGCACGGAAAAAGTAGCCGTCGCCACCATCGACCCTGCCGACCACGTATGCTGGATTCGGGCGACCATACATAAACCGAGGCCATCGCCGCAGTCCCCTCCATGCATCAGGCCTTCGAGGACCAGTTCTCGGGAGGTGCCCCAGTGAACGGTGGTCCACGCGCCAAGGGTCCTTTCCGAAGGGACTCCGCTCCACAGGACAAGGCGCGCCAAAACCAAAAGCACAGGGAGTCCAAGAAAGACGCTCGCCGCCAGGAGCTCGATAGTCAGCTCCAAGACACCTTCAAGGCCCTCTTCCACGGCAAC